TTAGAGACCTGCGCGGGACTGTTTTCTTCATCCCGCTCCCGCTGAATTTCTGACCATTACCACCCACAACCGCAACGTGTGTGTTACACTCCTGCCCGCACCCGCAATGTGTATGTCCACTCGCGCCTGCTCCTGCAAAACTATGAGAATTTATGCCCGCGCAATAATAGAGATGCGTTGATTTTGTGTCTTCTCCCGTCCTGCAGGAGAAAACACGTCATTTTATAGGTTATTAATAAAGAGATTCATGGGGTTGTTTGTTTCGTTTCCCTGGCCTGCATGTCTGTTGACGCACTGGTCAGGAATAGCGCTCCTATTTCATTGTTTTCATTTAGTTTTAAATGAAATAAAAGCTGTTTCATATTCTATTCTCCTCCTCTGTATTTATTTATTTTTCTACCTTTATATAATCAAGCAGTGATTGAGGTTAAGGTCTCTTTTCTAAGAGAGACCTGAATAAGAAACATTAATGAGATAAAGATAAAGCCTATGCTCAATAACACCGGCATCATCACGCCTCTTTATGTAATTAATAAACAGCAACGAGAGTAGGCTGTGAGTGGCTCAAATAACACTAATAAATAACATAAAATAAACTAAGTTAATGAATGAATCACTTGGCCATAATATTGCTGTGGAGGAAGAGAATGTTGCTGACCGACTGTGGTCCCAATCCCGTGCGTCTCTCTTCCAAGATGCGCCCACAGACACTAAAGGCCCGCTCTGAAGATACTGAAGATGAAACACCAGCTTTGAGAGAACTGGGAAGTTGAGGGCTCAGTGCACCTTCAGACCTTGTTTGAGCTTCTTTTCCACATCATTTGTTAACTCCATCCTGTCGCTATAGGCTACATCCCGATCCTGCAGTGTGTTTTTAGCTGCCCGTTCCTGCCCGCAGCAAAGTTCAAACTGCCCGCTCCCGCAAGATTTGGGTTGGGTCCTGTGGGACCTGGCGGGACCCAACCCAATGCAGCCCTCTACGTTGCATGACACGCTGTGAGACGTGGATCTAATAAACTTTGGTATGACGTCAAGTTTGATGTGTGCAGATTGTACGATGGCCGTTCACTACTGAATCGCAGGTTACGACGTACGTCAATATGCAACGTCATCAGCGTACGTCATCCATCTGCGCCACCATAGGTAGCTTGCTCACCTGGAAGTTGCAGTTCCTCCACAATTTCCTTCCATGCAGCGTCTTTTTTCTGGCGGTCATGATAGCAGCATCAAAGATAGATAGAAACATCAAATCAACAAGGCTTCTGCTGCCACAGCTCCACCAAACTTTCCTCTTTCTGGGAGTTCCACACACTTCTTTTTGTTCGTTTTACCTCCAGGCCAAGCGATCATTTGTTTGGGTTTAGCGCCGGTTTCGCGGTGACCATTGCGTCATTTCGTGCTGCATTTCTATTGGTTGATTAGTAGACGTAGGTCGTAGCAGCTGTCACACTGTCAGATAGTCATCCTAAATTTCTGACACCGTCAGAATCAAATCAAATCAGGTTATCTTTGGTCGCAAGACATTGACAACGGCCGTCCTTGAACCTGTCTCACAGTGCGACGTAATACCACTGTTTTAGAGCCACGACCAAAGATATCGCCACGTTTCTCCAACGACGGCCATCTTTTGTCTGGGACAGCCCAAAATCGCACAGTGTATACTGGCCATAAGACATAATAACCTGTGGATTAACAGTTCATTACAAACATGGAATGAAACACAAACATTTTCACTTAAGGAAGGCAGCAGATATTTTAAGATGGTTTGCATATGACCCAGAATTCATACCTTGTAAACACTGACAAAAAATTTAAAGATTGGATCTCCAGTGGGCTAACGGCACACTGTACTCTCATGAAGTCAGGTATCATGAAGAGTTTTCAGGAACTTAAAGACAAATCTAATTTACAAAACCGGGAAAGGAGAAAAATACGGTCACAGAAAATATTTATTAGAACATATGAGAATGAACCTCATAAAAAGGTCATTTCGAAATTGTCTTTAAGTCTTCAACAACTAAACAAGGAAAATACATTTAAAACAAGGTGTGAAAATGAGCATCACACAAGGAGAATGGGAAGAGATACTTGGAAAATGGAAATGGAAAAGAACAAGCTCTCAACTCTGGAGAGAATTTGGTTGGAAGAATGTTATGTGTTACCTCTGTACTCCTGCCTTGGAGGTGTTTCCCTCGACCTTTTAAGTTGTAAATGATCGTTGCTGTACTTTATCAATTTCAGACAAGGGACCAAGTGAAAATACTTCAGTGCAGGGAGCAAAGGACGTCTGCAAACTGATGGGCTCCAATTAGACTTTGTTTTTTTTAAGTCAACGTTTTAATCTGTAAGATCTTCTCGGGCCACTTCATTCATTTATCTTGTATTATTAATTAGTACGAGGCTTAGTGGATAGAGCAGGCGCCCCATGTACAAGGCTGTTGCTGCAGTGGCACGGGTTCAACTCCAGCCTGTGGCCCTTTGCTGCATGTCAATCTCTTTTTGCTCTCCCCCCTTCACATTTGACTTTCCTATCAATTAAAATCTAAACTGCCCAAAAAATATCTTTTAAAAAAAAAAAAATTAGTACGAGGCTGTTGCAGTTGGACCTCATTAGATTAGTGTTGTGTATTTAACCATCCAGTTCTAATAAAATGTGTTTATTTTGTCAAACAACAACAAAATCATCATAATTCTTGAGTGCATTTGAGCCTGGTCATTGTGGATAAGAAAATTCAGTTAATGTACTTGAAGATCAGATTTTGGGAGGCAGGTAAATGGAAGAAGTCTCACGGAGACTCTGAAACTAGAGGCCTGTACTACAAGGCAGGATTTGGAGTTAGCGAGGTAACACCAGGGTTAACTCTCGGCTAGCTGGTTCTCTTTTTACCAGGATAAATCATCAGGGTGGCTTAAGCCAAACAGCTAACCTGCTCCGGAGAGGGTTAACTTCAGAGTATTGGATCACAGCCTGTCAACACCCCGACCTCTGATCGATCAGATCACAGAAGGAAAAAGTATCCATGGGCAAAAATCTGGAGTCTCAGGTAAAAAAGAGCGGCCCATAATGCAGGAAGTCATTTTCAGGAATTGAAAGGCAGATTTGAAAATGTTTCTTTAAAGAGGACCTATTACGCTCATTTTCTTCTGTATCTCTGCATCTTTGCAGCGTCTCGTTACAGAATGACCACAACGGAGATTAACAGCATTTTGTGAAAAATCAGCAATAAAAGTTTCTAAATGATCCGATATCATGGACAAACTAACAACGTCAGCAACAAAAATTACATGTCAGCTGACAAAGAACATTCCTCCAGTGTAAAATCACTCCTGTCCTCCTGTCAGGACGCCTCTGAGGAGCCCACAGGTGAAATACCTGGACCACAGCAAAGGTCAAAGGTCATTACCCCGCACTGAATGTCCCCAGGTTGTAAGCAGGGTCAGACAGTCGGGGGTGAAAAGGTCAACACAACTTCAAAGTGGACAGAAATGTCAGCAACTGGAACTCTTCAACTACAGCAGTTCTTTTTGGAATAACTGACAGCACTGTAAAGGATCATTTTGTCCATCCTACATTTGATTGGTTTAGTTACAAACACTGACCGAAACTGCAATATGGCCAGGTGCAATATCCAAATCACAGGAGCCTTTTTGATAAAGGTCAAATGTGTCACAATATACAGTTATGAATGCGGCCTACAAATCATATTCCAGAAACAAAGGAACATGCTTGGTTGGTACAGACCCCGACAAAAATCACATCATCACTTTTATATTTTTTCAGTGCAAGTTAAAATGCAAAATCTACTTTTCTGACTAAAATCGTGACTCATCATGATATCTGTCAAAATAATCTCAATATTGCTTTTTTGCTTATCATGCAGCCTTTGTCCTGAATAAATTCACTTCTAAGAGAGGTGTGAGGTTGCATTTTAGGATGCTTTCACACCTGCCCTGTTTGGTTCAGTTCAGTTGAACTCAAGTTTCTTTGCCCCCTCAGTGTGGTTTATTTGGTCAAGTGTGAACACACCAAAACAACTGGACTGAGACCTTCTTGAAGAGGTGGTCTCAGTCCGGTTCCAAAGGAACTCTGGTGCGGTTGGTTTGTGGTGAGAAGGTGTTCCGACCTGGATGTGAAGCAACTGCAGTCACATGACACATTGTTTGGGTTAAACATGAGCATGTTACAGTCCTGGAGGATTATTAATGTGCACCTCCTCCTGTACTGCCTTAATATGCACATTCAGCACATCCAATGCATCAAAACATTGTTTTCTAGTTGGAGCCGCGCCTCGTTTTCAAACTGTATGGTTTGACTAAAATGAACAATGACAGCAATATAGTCCACGATGAGCAGCGCTAAAATCAACCTGCGTAGTTGTCCCTCCATTGTGACATTAGAAAGTGTCACATTTATCTTGCAAGTGTACTCTTCTTCAACGTTTGCTTTACTTCCTGGATTTTTCCCACATGGAAATTCTGACCAATCAAGAGCAGCTTTCTCACACAAGGCATTTGATCTGGTCCTCTTGTAAATGCTGCCGTGAGAACACGAACCAACTCTAGGCAATTATACAACTTTGTGACAAAATGAGTCCCTGATTCAGACCAAAGGAGACCACTCTAGGTCTGAATGCACCCTTAAACACTGGAAGTCAAGTGCATATTATTTTTGGCCTTCTAAGTTGAAACAGCATATTAATTACTAATAATTATAAAAGTTAAAAAAAAAAAAAGTTAAAAGATGTTGTGTTTTCTGAGGAGAGACTAGATGACAAAGACTTCTCAGTAACTTCTATGAATCCCAACAGGTTTAAAGATGTCTCACAGCAGCAACAGGATCGTTGTGACTACACGGCTACACAACAACACTTAGAGGTACCATAAGACTGTAGCATCACACTAAGCATTCCACCTGCCGATAACCTGGACCACATGATTTAAACATTACTTCCTCACTATATTGAGCTGCTCAATGATGTGGATGAGGTTGATGAACTTACCGTCAGGTGCTGAAAAAGCCAGGCTCTCAGGATGTTGGTGGCCACTTTGGGGAAGATGCCTCTTTTTTTGTTGTGCAGTTTGTCTCTGTCGGGGTCGTCGTCGTCTCCTGTGCTGGGAGAAGCCACACCGTTATCCAGGCAGTCACCTGAGCAACACAGAGAAGACAGAAACTTTATTTTACAGACACGAAACAGATGTTACCGTACATACTGAACGAGATGGGCTGGATGGTACCTTGTCTGACAAACCTCAACAATTTCATCCAAACATAAATCCCATCATAATAATATTTACAATATACTATAACTTGAGCACATTTTCTTCACATATATTTTTTCATCTTGTGTATAAAGAAGCCTAATAGACACAGATTTGTTTTTATTTGTTTAAAGGAATACCTTAACTAGAAAATTACCATTTGTAAATCAATGTCATGCTGTGTTTCCTTGAATTTGTTAAGAAAACTTTGTTTTTCTTGCATGCCTCCATGGTGAACTGCAAATATATTAATTCACTGATTGATAGGCGAGCACGTTTATCCCCTTAAAATGGGTCCTGCAGACGGCCGCGACGTAACACTGTTCACATCCTACACACTGTATATATCGATCTAAAATAAAAACCATAATAGATAGAGCGTTCTTTCTTTTTGTAGCAGAAAGCTAAGTCTTCTGTCTGTCCTGTCGTCACGTTATTGACCCATGTTAGCTTACCTTACATGCCGTGCAAACTATGGAGCTACATTTGTTTCTTCATTATTGAATCAAACAGAGTAGGTTTTGCAATCCAAAAAAAAATTTGAGAGCAAAAGTATCAATATTGCAAGTAAAAAATGACTGATTAAAAAATGCAAATCCAAAAGGTTTGCTTGCGAGTCATTTTTTTCCGTTTGCAAGTCAAAAAGTTTTGCGAGTAAAAAGTTGAACCTGGTGGGCGGGGCCTAAACTGAAAGCTGTAAGACACGTCTCTATTGGCCAGTCTCGATCGGAATGACAGCTTGCAGAGCAACATGGGAGTTCTGTAGTTCACGGGGAATTCAGTGCGGGAGCTGTGGCGAAAATCAATGAGCAGGTATGTTTATACATAAATAATAATAGCAAGAATGTTTTATTTGAACTGGTGCATGTAGATTGCTTTTGTTTAGCCAGGGCAGAACTATTCAACAGCGTAACGGTCAGTACCGTCGATGCTCCGGGGTGCAGCAGTAATGCTGACTGTCAAGCGTTTCCAGTGGGAGAGAGGGAATCGTAGGTGTAATCCACCAATAGAAACTCTTCTCTCATCCATCAGCGTAGGCCCCGCCCATTAAGTACAGTTGAACTTGCAAGCAAAAGTTTTTAACTCACAAGCAAAGAGGACTGATTTATACGCAAAATGATTGATTTTTGATTGCAGTTCAAGAAATATGCTCTCAAAACAGTTTTATATGATTGCAACAAAAAGACACAAAAATACCTCCATAGCAAATGTCGTATTTCGCTGTAATTACGCTGGTATTTTCTCAGGAATTTCCCTGTAATGGCCTTGGGGGGTTGTCGTTCACATAATCCTGTACACTGTATATATTGATCTAAAATAAAAACCATAATAGCTAGAACATTTATTCTTCTTGTGGCAGAAAGCTGAGGTGTCTATCCTCCCCATCATCATGTCATGACCTTACATTACGCGCTGTGCTAACTTGGTATTTTGGCGTAGTTTCACTGGTATTTTGTGTAATGGACGTGGGAGATTGTTGTTTGCATAATCCTGTATCTATCTAAAATATAAACTACAATTGCGAGAACAATTATTCATTTTGTGACAGAAAGCTAAGGCTTCAATCTTTCCTGTCATCACAAGATTGCCTTATGTTACTTTGTAGTATTGTAGTAAATGTAGTATCTCACCATGATAATGCCAAAATATCCCTGGGAATTTCCCTTTAATGGCCACAGGAGATTGTTGTTTGCATAATCCTGTACACATAACAATCTAAAATTAAAACTATATCAGCTAGAAAATTATTTTCTGCAGCAGCAGCCGCACAAAGCTAAGGCTTCTGTCTGTCCCGTTGTCCTGACAGCACTCTTAATGGTGTCATTGTGCTAAGTTACTGTAGGTGTGGTGCAAAACCACGTGACAATGCACCATGGCATCAGAGGAATGAATGATGCATCTATCATAACACCTGTGCACTCTGCTAAATTAACCCTGTGTGTTTGTTTACTGACTGTTTTTTACTGCGTTGTCACAAGTGAGCCAAAGACAGATTTCCACCCAGTAGTTTCTACATTTGAAAATCTTTTGTCTCGATATGTTTTGTTTTTTTATTTTTGTAAAAACTGATGAAAAAACATGTCAGATTTTTGTAATTCTATCATCATAAAAGACACCTCATTAAAAGCAGACACATACAAAATAAAACTCACAAAAGCTGTCTCGGTTCGTTTGTCCACTGTTCCAACAATCACCAACTCTGGTTTGGTTGAAATAAACTCTTAATTTACCCATTCAGATGTGAAAATATGCAGCTCCATGCACACTAAAATTACCATTTATGTAAATGGAGTCCGGTGGGTTTAGTGATGGTGATTTTCAGGGCTGAAAAGGATCCTGCTCTTTAACCAAGGGTCTGTCTCTGTAAGGATCCTGTCCATAATGTTGTAAGACATTTAATAATCTGAGCCTGTCAGCAGCAAAAACTAACTCGCTAATTGGGTGTACACTGATGATGCACAAATGCCCTGACAGGTTACACTGCAGACTGTTTTGCGGCTGCCGGCAGCAGCAGTCTCACTCAATGCTGGATCAGTTTCAGAAATTGTTTTCGCATTCGTCACTTAGACACAAAAACATGGGAGAACAGGGTCCAGGTCAAAAAAGTAACAAAGCTACCCTTTAAACTAAAAAAACAGTAGGAAAACTTGTTGGGGTTTTCACAACAAAGAGTACATTGGCCAATCACTGAGTATTCCTGGTAGGTTTCGGTATATATATTTACTATATTTGCCTGTGGTTGCAGAGCCCTGGCCAGCTAGCTAACATTAGCACATTTCACTCAGTGCACATGAGGCCTCTCAGCACTCTTCTAGCCATTAAAGGCGCCGAGCAAACACATGCCTTTTCTCGTGTACTTTCCCTGCACAGATTTCCCCAGTTGATGAGTGGATTCAAACTGGTGACCCCGCAGTCCCTCTGGCCTGCCCTGCTCCGTAACCCTCTCTGTGCCCCACCATCCCCCCGCAGGTTTAGGATCGTGGCACATAATGCAGCATTTCAACTGAAAACCACTAAAAGCTGCCGGGCCCGGTGTTTTTACTGCACTTTCTCTGCCTGTTTAATGAGGCTCATTTTCTCCTCAGTGTTTTTAACAGCGCCGGGCCAAGGTTAGGGCGACAGTCCCCTGCAGCCTGCAGCAGGCGCTCCAGGCCCTGCCGCCCTGCCTAGAGTCAGCCGAGGACCAACCAGGGCCTCCCTCTGCCTGAACAGAGGCAGGATTCTGCTGCGCAGCAGAGCCTGAAAAGGTGGAAATAATCATAAAAATGATGCGTAACTCCATAAACAAGCTCTCAGCCTCATTAGGCTGAACCGCAAGCTCCCCGAGGCTGATTTACGCTCCACCCCTCCACCCGCACTCCCTCTCTCCTTGGAGAGCCAAGGAAAGAGAGGTCCGACCCAACCTGCTAATGGTTTGTGACAACTCGGCTTCACAACAACCTGTGAACTGGCGGAGAAGAGGAGGAGGACTGTGGGCGATGAACATTTAGAGGTGGAGGACGCTTCAGTCAAAGCTTCATTTTCTGATCACAGCCGGAAATACTGAAAAACTGCTGTACAGTCGGCCATGTGTGAAGTCAGATAACAGGCAGATACACGAAGAACAGATGAGGAAAAGTGTGACGTACACAACCAGCCAACAATGCTTTCAAATATTCTCATACAGGTCACCTACCCACAAGTTGTCTTTCCATTTAAATGTTGCAAGAATTTTGAGCAAATTTCTTTATTTTCTGCAAAATTAAACATGAATTAGTGCTTGTCTTCATCACCTGCTGTAGTGCAAATATATCCAAGAGAACATGTCGATATTAGGGAAAAAACTAGGGAAAAAAATCTAAAACTAAAATCCATTCATCTCGCAGCAACACACGATCACACCCTGCTTTTGTCAGCCTTTGGTGCATCTTCTGTTTTTAAACTTTGACATCTCAGCCAAGAAAAGGTGATCTCATCCTTTAGCGGTCACATATCAATAGTTTAGCCAACGAAGCAACATGTTTAAGGTAAAGTAAGGATTGTTAGTGACATCAGTCGACTGTCACGTGTAGGGATATAACGATATGGAAAATTTGATATTTGATCTCTTTTTTTAAGTGCTGTAAAATGTCAAAAAAATAGATACATTGAAATAACTTCACTAAATCTTGTAACTTCCTTATCATACTAAAATGTTAACAGCCAAAATCTTATATTAAAATGAAACTTTCACATTAAAGGGGCAAGGGATTGGCACAGCAACAGAAAATTTTATTTTAAATTAACAAAATATGTAAACAAATTACAGGAGCAAAGCTTATTTGTCTGGTGCATCTTAACAGTCAGCAAAATATGTAAACAATTTATATATTATTTATTTATTAGCACGAGAGGAAAAATATATATAAAACAAAACAATGCAAGAGTAGAACAAAAGACATACAATATATAGAACAGATATCACAAATGTGCAGGAGAAACCAAAAAAACCCTAAGGGCAATGGTCACCATTACACAGAATAATTCACACATTAGAAGTGTGCATGTGAGTCAGAGGATTACCTGTATGAGAAAAGGAGTGCATGCTCTCAGTCAAAGGTTAACACGGCAGCGTTTTATGTTGTTTCCTTGAGCCTATGTCGAAAAAGCATAACTGGCCGTCTATATCGATTCTAGCTCGCCATACAATAACCATAATCACAGTGATTCAATCATAGTTGATCTCAATTAGAAATACATTACGTCGGTTTAAATTCTGTCGGCTCCGCTCAGTGTTTACAGCTCTGTTTCGTTTTGAAACACTTAACGTTAGCAACATAGCTGCTAATACGGCTATTAGCTACTCAGCTAGTAGCTCCTAAGTGTCTTAAATGAAAACGGAAAACCTAGTCGTCGTTTAGGAGGACA